TAAAATCCAAGATGGCCTCCAATTATTCTCATCTCCAGGGATTCAAGTCCTTGTGTAGTCCCCTCCCACAATGAATCATGGCTGCCTGGTATTACCAACAGATTACTGCAGAAGAAATAGTGTATGATTCCAAGACTGAGTCATTGAAGACATGGTAATGTCCACCTTGGTCTTTCTTAGACCACTTGCTCTGTAGAGAGCCAACTGCCATGTCATGAGGACATTTAAGCAGCCTGTGGAGAAACAGACCTCCCGTCAACCACTAGCACCTACTTTCCAGCCATGAGTGTGCCACCTGGGAAGCATATTCCCTAGCCTCAATCAAACCTGGAGATGACTACATCCCTGGCTCACAGCTTGACTGAAACCTCATGAGAGATCCTGAGCCACAAACACCATGATAAGTTGCTCCTGAATTCCTGATGAAGTTGACATAATAAATATTCATTGTTATCTTAAGCCACAAGGTATTGGAATAATTTGTAACAAGGCAGATGACATAATCCATGATACTACTGTTTGGTAAAATTTCTAGATCTTTTTTTAATCTCTTTTTTTTTTTCCTCCAACATTATTGAGACAATTAACATATAGCATTGTATAAGTTTAAGGGGTACAAAATAATGGTTTGATATATATTGCAAAATGATTACTACAATAAGGTGAGTAAACACATTTATCACCTCATATAGTTACAGTTGTGTGTGTCAGTGTATGTGTGGTAAGAATATTTAAGATCCACTCTCTTAGCAAACTTCAAGTTTACAATACAGTATTGCTGGGGAACCTGGGTGGCTCAGTCGGTTAAACGTCTGCCTTCGGCTCAGGTCATGATCCCAGGGTCCTGGGATTGAGCCTGGCGTCGGGCTCCCTGCTCAGCAGGGAGTTTGCTTCTCCCTCTCCCTTTGCCACTGCTCATGTGTGTGCTCTGTATCTCACTCTCTCTCTCAAATAAATAAAATCTTCCCAAAAAACCCAATACAGTATTGTTAAACATAATCACCATGTGGTACATTACATCCCCAGAACTTATTCATCTTAAAACTGGAAGTTCATACCCTTTGACTACCTTCATCCCCACCCCTGGTAACCACTAATCTTCTCTTTGTTTCTATGAGTTTGGATTTTTTAGATTCTGCATATAAGTGAGATCATGTAGTATTTGTCTCTCTCTATTTCAAATGACATAATGTCCTCAAGTTTCATCCATGTTGTCACAAATAGCAGGATTTCCTCCTTTTTTATGGCTATATAATATTCATGTGTGTGTGTGTGTGTATAATATACATCTATATATGTATATGTGTGTGTATATATATAATATACATTGCATCTTCTTTATTCATACCTGTTGATGGACACATAGGTTGTTTACATGTCTAGACTATAGTAAATAATGTCGCAATGAACATGGGGTACAGATATCTTGAGATAGTGATTTCATTTCCTTCAGATATATACCCAGAAAAAACATTGTTGAATCATATGGTAGTTCTTTTTTTTTATTTTTTATTTTTTTAGGTAGGCCCCATGTCCAACATGGGTCTTGAACTCATGACCCTGATATCAAGACCTGATATCAAGATTTGGATACTCAGGGGCGCCTGGGTGACTCAGTCGTTAAGCGTCTGCCTTCGGCTCAGGTCATGATCCCAGGGTCCTGGGATCGAGCCCCACATCTGGCTCCCTGCTCTGCGGGAAGCCTGCTTCTCCCTCTCCCACTCCTCCTGCTTGTGTTCCCTCTCTCGCTGTGTCTCTCTCTGTCAAATACATAAATAAAATCTTAAAAAAAAAAAAAATTTGGACACTCAACCACCAACTGAGCCACTCAGGAGCCCTTATGGTAGTTCTATTTTTAATTTTTTTTTTTAATGTGCTAGAGTTACTTTATTTATTTATTTTTTGAAGTGTTTATTTATCTGAGAGAGAGAGCATTCGAGAGAGCACAAGTAGAGGGGAGGTGCAGAGGGAGGAGAAGCAGACTCTCTTTTGAGCAGGGAGTCCAATGTAGGGCTCAATCCCAGGACCCTGGGATCATGACCTGAGCCAAAGGCAGATGATTAACCGACTGAGCCACCTAGGTGCCCCTCTATTTTTAATTTTTTAAAAAGATTTTATTTATTTATTTGAGAGAGAGTGAGTGAGAGAGAGAGAGAAGGAGCAGGGGGAAGGAGAAGCAGACTCCCCACTGAGCAGGAAGCCCGATGTGGGGCCCAATTCCTGGCCTCTGGGATCATGACCTGAGCTGAAGGCAGATGCTTAACCATCGGAGCCAACCAAGCGCCCCTATTTTTAATTTTTTGAGGAACTTCCATACCGCTTTCCATGGTGGCTCTACCAATTTATATTGCCATTGACAGTGTACAATTGTTCCCTTTTCTCCTCAATCTCACCAACATTTTTTATCACTTACGTTTTTGATGATAGAAATTCATCAAATTCATCAACAGGTGTGAGGTGATAGCTCATTGTAGTTTTGCATTCCCTAGTGATTAGTAATGTTAAACAACTTTTCATGTAGGTGTTGGCCATTTGACTATCTTCTTTTTTTTTTTTAAAGATTCTATTTATTTATTTGAGAGAGAGAGAATGAGAGACAGAGAGCACGCACGAGAGGGAAGAGGGTCAGAGGGAGAAGCAGACCCCCTGCTGAGCAGGGAGCCCGACGTAGGACTCGATCCCGAGACTCCAGGATCATGACCTGAGCTGAAGGCAGTCGCTTAACCAACTGAGCCACCCAGGCACCCCATTTGACTATCTTCTTTGGAAAAATGTCTATTTGGATCCTTTGCCCATTTTTAAATCAGATTGTTTGTTCTTTTGCTCTTGAGTTGTATGAGTTCATTATCTGTTTTGGATATTTGCCCGTTATCAGATGTGTAATATTTTCTCCCATTCCATAGGTTGCCTTCTCATTTTGTTGGTTGTTTCTTTTGCTGTGCAGAAGCTTTTATTTTGATATAGTACCACTTGTCTATTTTTGCTTTGGTTGCTTGTGCTTTTGGTGTCATAACCATAAAATCATTACCAAGACTAATGTCAAGGAGCTTTTTCTCTATGTTTCCTCCTAGGAGTTTTATGGTTTCAGGTCTCGGGTTTAAGTCTTTAACCCATTTTGAAATAATTTCTCTGAGTAGTGTAAGATAGGCATCCCATTTCATTTTTTTGCATGTGAAATCAGTTTTTCACCACCATTTATTAAAGAGACTATCTTTTCCTCATTGAATATTCTTTGCTTCCTTGCCAAATATTAGTTGACCATATACACATGGGTTTACTTCTGGGCTCTGGATTCTGTTTTATTGATCTATATGTCTGTTTTTAATAGTGGTACCATTCTATTTTGGTTATACAGCTTTGGAATATAGTTTGAAATTACAAAGTGTGATGCCACCGGCTTTGTTCTTCTTTCTCAGAATTGTTTTGGGTTTTCAGGGTCTTTTATGGTTTCATACGAAATTCAGAATTTTTTTATATTTCTGTAAAAAGCCATTAAAATCTTGATAAGGATTACACTGACTTTACAGATCACTTTGGGTAGTATGGACATTTTAACAATATTAATTCTACCAACCCATGAACATGGGATATCTTTTCATTCATTTACCTGTTTTCCAATGTCTTTTCGTCAATGTCCAAGATTTCACAGAGCACAAACCTTTCACTTCCTTAGTTAAATTTATTCTTAAGTATTTTATTACTTTTGATGCAATAATGAATGGGATTTTTAAAAATTTCTTTTTTCATCATGGAACACTTCATCTAAAACTAATGATGTAATGTATGGGGATTAACATAA